CATATTGGATTAGATTTTTTTATCAATTTGGATACAATCAAGAGTCTTCTTCACTCTACACTAAGCTATAATCTTCCTCATGACATCTACTAAAGTAGTGCATTTAAAACGAATTCAAACAAATCGAAATCTCGGAGGGAGCATTTGTATCATATAAAGTATTACCATCCATTGGTTTCGTTGGGACCCGAAGGAAATAATTAAATTGGTAGATCTCAAAAATGTTAATGATCATTGGGAGGACAAAGTCACCAATCTGGCTAAAGAGAAAACGTGGGTTCCAAGCAAGCAGCATAAGTCGACAGTGAGAGAGACATTTAACATTTAGTTTAGTTTTAGGAAAGATTTAGTTTTAAAAATTTGAAAAGGATATATAATAAATTTTTACTTTTTGAGATATGAAATTACTTTCCAAACTTTATGACAGAAAAATCTCAACACAAAAAAAAAACCCTTAAAACTACCAATTTGACCTAACCCTGTGGCGTGCAGGCGAAGCTACAGTGGAGATATGCCAAACCTCTACTGTTTTAAATCATGTTGGCGTAGCAACAGATCTAATATGAGTTAAAAATCTTAAAGAGAAGGCATTGAATGAATAGAAACTTGATCCAATTCATGTTCCAAGAAGAGTACAACAACGTAAATAAGACTTGCAACTAATTCAATCATATTATAAACCACAAATTAAGAACAAAAAGAATTCATCTAATGAAAACCTTTAAAAGGCACAAAAAAAGTTTCATAATGTTGGTAGTCATATCTGAAAACCTCCAAACCTTTAACATGGTCTCATATTTGAGTTCGCTAAGGATCACAACCTTGTAGGGGAGCAAAATTTGGAGATAATGAATTCAAAGCTTTGTCGCTTGTCTTTGTATTGTATTCAAAGGAACTTAATGTTTGTTTTGGTTTGTATGATTCTGGAAGATCACTGAAGTAGCATTGGCTTTGTTATGTGAAACAAGCTTGAATTTGATTGAAATGTTTGCTTTCCTTGACACCAAGTTAAGGTGAGATCCTTTATCCTTTGTTTACTTTCTGATAGACAATTCTACAGTTTGATTCTTTAGCATTCTTTACGGTAACAATGATAGTCTAGGAAAATCACACGAGTTCGATCCTTATCTTGGAGTCAATCTGTGGGATCCTGTTACTATAGATAATGTAACTACGTTAGTTACCAAAGGGATCATGGACACACTTAGTTCAGACCGTTTTCATGTGTGTCTTGTGAACAAAGAAGGCAGAGAAACTCCATTTATGTATCCAAGTGAAGCTACAAGATTCGTGTGCTTTGTTTGATTTTGTATCCAAGTCTTTATTTTTGTTCTTCGAGTGAAGGTACTGTTTTTGGCATTTATAAATTTTATTATACAAACATGAAGTGACGAAGGCAGGAAATGACATGAAGCAGAGAGACGAATGTCTGGATTTCGACAAAATCTTTATAGTATGCAAATTATCGTAGT